ATATGTAGTTTTGTAGAGGAGAATTTTCTCTATCAAATGGTATATTGCTTCAAAAGATTGTGAAAATTCAGTATAGAAAAAATGAGGAAATACTGACTTACTAGATTTTTCAAAAAAAAAAACTTTTTTTTTTCAGAATCGATTGAGGGTGCTTCAGTTTCTATTTCATAACTTTTCAATGGTAAGTTAGAATGAGCTGAAATTTTAGGTTGGTAGGTTTCTCACTTTGCTCTTTCATTTCCAATCATAAAAAATAGGGGTCAAAATTTTTGAGAGTATGACCCTATGGAAAAATGTTCGATTTTCTCATGGACCCTCTCTTATGATAGAAGCAGCTATGTTGGCATGCAAAATTTTACATGCTACAAAATAGAAAAACTTCGTTAGTTTCAATGAGCATAGCTGTTCATCGAATACAGGAAAATAATGTAGATTGAAAGGATTTTTTTAAAAGGACATTGCTAGATTTCTCGAACTCTTCCATTAAGAAAATCTAATTATAGGATTTTGTAGAGCTCTTTACGGCACATCAGGTAGTATTCAAGAAATTCGGTTTTCTTCAAAATTTGATGTGCTGAAGGACCTATATATTGGTTAAAATCTGTAAGGAATATGCATAGTGCTCATAGATATTATGGTTCCTAGTATGTTAGAAAATAAGGGTGTGGGGTGGGATATTGGTATTTGAACACTCTTTAGTCACATCCACACCCTTGCTACCTGCATGTTCAGTGGTACTATGCTGAAGACATTGAGCCATCATATAGTCAATAAAAAGCATAGATCTAAGAAATTGGACCATTTCTAAGTATGACGAAAACTATTGATTACAGAAAACTGAATAGCATCTATAACTCTATCGAACTTATTTCTAAAACAAATCAGAATAGCTTTATTTTCCAAACTACTAAGGACCACAATATCTATGAACACTATGTATATTCCTTACGGATTTTAACCAGTATATAGGTCATTCAGCACATCAAATCTTGAAGAAAATCGAATTTCTTGTATACCATTCGATGTACCGCAAAGAGCTGTACCAAAACCCAAATATGAAGATTTTCTTAATGAAAGAATTTGAGAAATCCGGCAAGATTCTTTCATTTTTAATTAATTCAGAGTTGTTCACTATTGTATACGTACACATATATTTATAATGGTAACGGCACACACTTTAAATGTACTTGTTGAAAGTGTGAGTAAAATGTTACTACGTCCTACACCAAACGATGTTCGTGAAGATGTTCAGAAATTGTTGGCATCAATGCGTGTTAAATCATATGGAACATTAACTTGTATGTCAAAGAAATTCAACTAAAAAAATCTAAATTTTATATTTATTCTTTCTATTTTCAAGTTCATCATAATAAATCTCATCAAGTCGATTTTATTCGTGTGCCAGATAATATAAATGTGTAGTATGTTAAAGAATTCTTGTATCGATATTGCTGTCACGAAGTAAGTTCTTGGGCGTTTTATTTTTGAAAATAATATGTAAACAAACATATGTATATCTGAGTTTTATTATTATTTAGCGTCCATCACTTGTTATATCGATAATCGGCGGTGCAAAAGACTTTGAAATGAAACTAAAAATATTAAGACTATTTCGGCGTGGCCTTCTTAAAGTTGCTCGAACAACTGGTATTGAAAATAATAAAATAGTTTTACTGAGCAAGATGACTAGATAGTCAATATTTCGTTTAGAAATTACTCTGACAGATTTTCGAAAATCATCAGAAGAAATGAGATATGATAGAATCGATCTAGTTGAGTTACATAAATCATTCATAATATGAGTTATTGAATTTGCTGATTATTATTATTGATGTCGTTGAGAGAATATTGTCTCGTATTATTCGATTATAGGTGCATGGATTATTATCGGTGGCATGAATACAGGTATTATGAAACTAGTTGGTAAGATTGCTCAAATAAATCCTGATCCTTCACGACCCATTTCTTTAATTGTAAGTGTTTTGTTTTTATACACAACATATCGTCGCTTAGTTTGTCATGATAAACATCATCGTAGGGTATTGCTACTTGGGGTTATATATCCGGTCATGAACAACTCGATGCTCAGGGTATACATGCATATTATTCTAAATTTCTTAGTAACAAAAAGGGCGAAGCATCACTTGAACCAAATCATACAAATTTTATTTTTGTCGATGATGGAAGTGAAAGGAGACATGGTGGAGAACTAGTCTTTCGTGGTAAACTTGAAGAAGCTATTTCAAATGGATTTTTTTCATCAAAAACTCAAACAAATCCTTTGACTGCATATCGAACTCTTGCTGCAGCTCAATCTATACGAACNGAACCTTCCTAGATTTCTCAAACTCTTCCATTAAGAAAATCTAATTATAGGATTTTGTAGAGATCTTTACGGCGCATCAGGTAGTGTACAAGAAATTCGGTTTTCTCCAAGATTTGATGCTCTGAAGGACCATATACTGGTTAAAATCCGTAACGAATATACATAGTGCTCATAGATATTGTGGTCCATAGTATTTTGGAAAATAAGGGTGTGAGGGGGGTATGGGTATTTGAACACTTTAGTTACACCCATACTCTTGCTACTTGCACGTTCAGTGGTACCGTGCTGTAGACATTGAGCCATCATATAGCCAGAAAAAGCTTAGATCTAAGAAATTGGACCATTTCTAAGTATTACGGAAGCAATGACAAAAACTATTAATTACAGAAAACTGAATAACATCTATAATTCTATTGAACTTATTTCTAAAACAAATCAGAATAGGTCTATTTTCCAAACTACTAAGGGCCACAATATCTATGAGCACTATGTATATTCGTTACGGATTTTAACCAGAATATGGTCCTTCAGCATATCAAATCTTGAAGAAAACGGAATTTCTTGTATACCATTCAATGTACTGTAAAGAGCTGTACCAAAACCCAATATTAAGATTTTCTTAATGAAAGAGTTTGAGAAATCTGGTAAAGTCCTTACATTTTAAATTAATTCAGAATTGTTCACTATTGTATACGCACAAATATATATATGATGGCAACGGCACCCACTTTAAAGGTACTTGTTGAAAGTATGGGTAAAATTTTACCGATTCCTACACCAAACGATGTTCATGAAATTGTCCAGGATTCGTTGACATCAATAGGTGTTAAATCATATGGAACATTAACTTGTATGTCAAAAGAATTCAACTAAAAAACCTAAATTTTATATTTGTTCTTTCTATTTTCAAGTTCCTCGTAATAAATCTCATCAAGCAGATTTTATTCGTGTGCCAGATAATATAAATGTGAATTATGTTAAAGAATTCTTATATCGATATTGCTCTCACGAAGTAAGTTCTTGGTTGTTTTGTTTTTGAAAATAATATGTAAACAAACATATGTATATCTGAGTTTTATTACTATTTAGTGTCCATCACTTGTTATATCGATAACCGGTGATGCAAAAGACTTTGAAATGAAACCAAAAATAATAAGACAATTTCGACGTGACCTTCTTAAAGTTGCTCAAACAACCGGTATTGAAAATAATAAAATAGTTTTACTGAGCAAGATGACTAGATAGTCAATATTTCGTTTAGAAATTACTCTAACAGATTTTCGAAAATCATCAGAAGAAATGAAATATAATAGAATCGTTCTAGTTGAGTTACATAAATCATTCATAATATGAGTTATTGAATTTGCTGATTATTATTATTATTAATGTCGTTGAGAGAATACTTTGGAGAATACTGTTTCGTATTATTCGATTGTAGGTACATGGATTATTACCGGTGGCATGGATACAGGTATTATGAAACTTGTTGGTGAGATTGTTCAAATAAATCCTGATCCTTCACGACCCATTCCTTTAATTGTAAGTGTTTTGTTTTTATACACAACATATCGTCGCTTAGTTTGTCATGATAAACATCATCGTAGGGTATTGCTACTTGGGGTTATGTATCCGGTCATGAACAACTCGATGCTCAGGGTATACATGCATATTATTCTAAATCTCTTAGTAACAAAAAGGGCGAAGCACCACTTGAACCAAATCATACAAATTTTATTTTTGTCGATGATGGAAGTGAAAGGACACATGGTGGAGAAATAGTCTTTCGTGGTAAACTTGAAAAAGCTATTTCAAATGGATTTTTTTCATCAAAAACTCAAACAGATGCTTTGACTGCATATCGAACTCTTGTTGCAGCTCAATCTCTACGAACTGACTCTTCAGGTTCGTATAAAAATTTTTTTTAAAAATCTTCCTCAATAATGATTTCTCTGTAGATATAGCACCAGTACCTGTTGTTCTTATTGTTGTTGAAGGTGGTCCGAATACAATTCGAACAGGTAGAAAAGAACCATTTATATAAAACTAGAAATGTGATTTTTCATTTCGATATAGTTAAAGAAGCAGTAGTTGAAAATAATATTCCAGCTGTTTTTCTCGATGGAACAGGTCGTTGTTGTGATTTATTTGCTAAAGCACTTCATCTTTATAAAGAACATTATCAACATGATGAACTTGCTAATGAAACATTAATAAAGTAAATATGAGCATAGAATTGTATATATCCTTCTACCAGCTTGTAAAAGCTATTTGTCTTTCATTGTCAATATTTAACGAATAGTTCTGTCTTCTAGATAGTTAATTAGAAAAGAAAAATAATGCAATGCAGTCATGAGTACGATGTCGCATCTTGACATATTTTGCAAAAAAAAACAAAATATTAAACTCACGAAGGAACATCGCCAATTGTCAAGTCGCTTTTGAGCTTGAACTTGATGCATTATGTAGAGACACTTTTGAAGCATGAAAAATTGCAAAAACATAAATCGCCTTAGGTAGGTCGTTTGTCGAGACTTATAGGCATTTTACTACAATTTTAGCATAAAGTATGGTATACACCAAAATATCGAAGTATGATGTTTCGAGCTGATATTACTTATAAATATAATTCGATTTGTAAATGAAACATTCTGAAAATTTCAGCTTGATATAATATTCCTTCACTGAGATATTAGAGTCCTTAAAAAACAGAAAATCCTAGCATTTTAGGAAGTCTTTGGGACTCTAATATTTCAAGAAAGGAACATTATTTTGAACTCAAATTTTCAGAATGTTTCATTCACAAATCAAATTATATTTAGACTTAGTCTCAGCTCGAAAGCTAAAATAGCAGTAAAATGCCTCTAAGTGTCGACAAGAAGACCTACCTAAGGGGATTCGTCCTTCTGCAGTTTTTCATACCTTAATAGGATTTACATAATGCAACAAGTTCGGCTTTAAAAGCGATTTGACAGTTGGCGATGTTCCTTCGTCAGTTATAACCTATTATCGAAAATTAATTAAAGCATTAGCGACTAACGGATGAATCGAAAGTTTTCGCACAAAACGTTCGCTCATTTGTGATTCATTTGAAAGTATATCAAACAACTTGATACCTATGAATCAAAACCAGAATTTATTGTCTTTCTGAACATAAGCTGAGAAATTTTCTGTTGGTCTTTTATTCAAGAGTAGTGAGAAAATCTTTGAAAGGTCTCAAAAAAATTAGTTTGGATGGGAAATTTTTTCGTACTTTTTTATATTTTTACTATTGCTATTCGAAACTAAAAGTTGAAGGCATCCTTACTCTATCAGCTGGTACAACAAAATATNACGATGTCACATCTTCAAATATTTTGCAAAAAAAAAAAAAAAAAATATTAAACTCACGAAGGAACATCGCCAATTGTCAAGTCGCTTTTGAGCTTGAACTTGATGCATTATGTAGAGACACTTTTGAAGCATGAAAAATTGCAAAAGCATAAATCGCCTTAGGTAGGTCTTTTGTCGAGACTTATAGGCATTTTACTACAATTTTAGCATAAAGCATGGTATACACCAAAATATCGAAGTATGATATTTCGAGCTGATATTACTTATAAATATAATTCGATTTGTAAATGAAATATTCTGAAAATTTCAGCTTGATATAATGTTCCTTCACTGAGATATTAGAGTCCTAAAAAAACAGAAAATCCTAGCATTTTAGGAAGTCTTTGGGACTCTAATATCTCAAGAAAGGAACATTATTTTGAACTCAAATTTTCAGAATGTTTCATTCACAAATCAAATTATATTTAGACTTAGTCTCAGCTCGAAAGCTGAAATAGCAGTAAAATGCCTTTAAGTGTCGACAAGAAGACCTACCTAAGGGGATTCGTCCTTCTGCAGTTTTTCATACCTTAATAGGACCTACATAATGTAACCAGTTCAGCTTTAAAAGCGATTTGACAGTTGGCGATGTTCCTTCGTCAGTTATAACCTATTATCGAAAATTAATTAAAGCATTAGCGACTAACGGATGAATCGAAAGTTTTCGCACAAAACGTTCGCTCATTTGTGATTCACTTGAAAGTATATCAAACAACTTGATACCTATGAATCAAAACCAGAATTTTATTGTCTTTCTGAATATAAGCTGAGAAATTTTCTGTTGGTCTTTTATTCAAGAGTAGTGAGAAAATCTTTGAAAGGTCTGAAAAATTAGTTTGGATGGGAAATTTTTTCGTACTTTTTTATATTTTAATTATTGCTATTCGAAACTAAAAGTTGAAGGCATCCTTACTCTATCAGCTGGTACAACAAAATATGCCCTTCAAAATATAATATTCGAGTTTTCTTTGTTCGTGAGGCGAGACTTCTCAATTTTCATTTTTGCTATACACTCATTTCTGAGAAATCCATTTTTTTGAACAAAAGGTATTTTACACGGAGAGAAACTTCTGAAAAAATACATAGAACTTCAATTTTGTAAAAGCTACAACTTAATTCAATATCACATTTTGCAAAGAAGTGTCCGCTCTACAAAACTACCGTGTCCTATAACTTTTACCATCTTCTCAAACGAACATATATAGGTTCACAAAAAACTAGTTTATGCATTGTCCAAACTAGCTTTTTTTTAGAACCTTTCAAAGATTTTCTCCATGTACTTAGTAGAAAAAGAAGATTCCTACCATTTTGAAACAATTATCTATCGACAGAGGCAAAATTATTAAATCTATTTGACAAAATATTAATTTCCAATACATTCTCAAAAAGATCTTTTCAGAATGTAACAATCATCATTTAATGTTTTTTTGCTAAGACTCTTCTGATTTAAAACGAACAATAGAAATGGAATTAATATTGTTCGATAGTTGAGTTGCATAAGAAATTCGTTTTTAGAAGAGTTAAATTTTCAAGTTGAAAGTCAATTGTTTTTGCATTGTTATAGAACTAATTTAAGTTTTTCATTTAGCCGTGATGAAGAAATAAAAAATAAACTTCGTGAAGAACTTAAAGATGCTGTTTATGCAATCGATGGTCCAAGTGATCCATCAACTCCAACGAATAAAAGAAACGACTCTTTTGAATTAGTTTATGAATGTCTTCATAAACGAAGAAATTTCTTAAATATTATCAATCTTTATTCACGTGATTCAATAGAGCTTGATTTTGATTTAATTATTTTAAAAGTACTATTAAATGGTTAGACATTAAAAAAAACTAATTGAATTCTTCTATTAATCAACAATATATATATCGTTATTTAGCTACATCTGGTAGTGATACATCTAAACAAAATATGCAACGTAAACTTGAAAAACAATTATATTTAGTTTTAGAATGGAATCGTGAGGATATAGCTAAAGATTTTGTGAAAAATGACGCAGACTGGGTAGGAAATAATTATACGATAAAATTCTTTTCCCGTTTTCTATTTCTTTTTTTTTTATAATAAAAATTAGAACATTAATTTACGTAAATTATTCCTATTGGCACTCAGGCATAATCGAGCAGCATTTGTTGAATTATTTCTTGACCATGATTCTTCATTAATGAATATATTTAATGATCCGTCTGAACTTCGTGAACTTTATATGGATACTGATGAAATGAAAGAAGTAAATGAAATTGAAAAATGTACATAATTTTGTTTTTATTTTGTATTATTTCGAAAAAAAAAATAGTATCATGGTTTATTAGAAGAGTCCGATGCTCCGCTACGAGTCATACATGAAGTAATTCAATAATTTGTAGAAGATCGTTTTGAAATTACTGATATACTGTCTCCAGCAAGTATGACACCGAATTCTGAATTAATTAATGAAAATAACGATGAAATCAGTATTTGTTGCGGACGAAAACACTATCAAAAACCACCAGACAATGACTATAATAGTAATGTACAAACGGAGAGTAAGTTGTAAACATATTTCTTAAAAAAACGAGATATATCTTCGAAATTCTACGAAAGCCACGTTTTTATTAATTTTTATTTTTCAATAAATTGAAATTTCTATCAATGATAAAGTTCAATGTCACAAAATTATGTAGAAAATAGGTTTATTACTCACGAAGACATAGTTATTTCATGTGTATTTGACTGCATTCGAATGATTGAAATAAGAACGCATGAAGAAATTCTCATTTGAATGTATATAAAATGAAATATAAACTGGAATAAGTAATCACGTTTAATAGTAGTGGCTATGGTCTATAATTGAAACGGCGAGGACAAGAAAGAGTCGCAAAAACTTGATCTTAAAACTTACACTTATCATTTTCTTTACATTACTGTCCATGTAAACTCAATCATGACCCAATGAACTAACTCTTATTCTAATGTTAGAAACTACTTCCAAGGTTTTGATTCATCAATTAAAAGTTTATTATCATCCATTGAAAAATCCCATTACTGCCAAAGATAAATAGTAGATTTTGTATTTCTGGAATCTGATGGAATTTTCTTGTGTTCTTATATGTTCTCAATTTTTTAATAGTTTATTTGAATCTGTGAGTTTTTCTCTAGCATATCTGACTTCTGAATAGCTTTACAAGATCTTCTAAGATGTTCTTTCACATAAAAGCTCTGAAAACATGAGCGACTACATTTTAACGTTTGATAACGTACTTCTATCGATTATCAATAAAGAAAAACAGTAAGACTATGCGAAAACATGTTGATCAATCCTATTTTATAGAGCTTTCTCTACTGATCATTTCAGTAAAAATTATCTTTCATTTTCATCAAGAAATGATGATGCCAGAGTTAAAATACTGACAGACTTCAAATATACTCCATTTTCATAGTGTTTTGACTCTAATACCGTCATCTCATGATGTAAATAGAAATATTTTTTTAAAATAATCAACAGAAGCAGTTCTAGAAAACAAAGATTTCTCAACAAGTTCTTAGATGTTCTTTTTTGGTTGACTATTAATAGAATTATCTGAACCGAGGGTGAAACTCCACATTGAAATACCCGCACATGTTTTCGAAGAAAATAGAGAATGTAAATTGAAATCGAAGTTTTAGTAAGGAGAACGGATGAAGAGTTAAATGATAATTACAACAGTCGCTTGATATGCATCATATATGAACAGTTTTGATTTATTCTCTAGTTCGAAAAACGGAATTGACCTTTCGTAGAATTGGAATGAAATTTTTTCTCGAGAATTCGTTACTCTTTTATAATGAAAATAACAATTATCATGACAGACAAAACAATCGAAATTAAATCTATGATCAATTATTACAGCCACATCTATTTTTCTTTTCGTGATCTTAATACATGTTATTTATGTATTATAATTAATGAAATACGCTTATTTTCTTTTTACAGGATCAACATCTGATACCGTTACGCATATTAATATTGAGAAAGAACTTTTTCTCTGGTTGATCATAGCAGGTCGACGAGATTTAGCATTACTATTATGGTCTCGGGGCAAAAATAAAATTTGTGAGTTAGATATTTATTTTTAATGACATATTGAAGGGAATATATTTCTTAGGTGCTGCATTATTGCCAAACTAATATATCAAATTCATGCTCATAGAAAAAATGATAATAGTTATTATCAATCGGCCGATGAATTTGAAAATTTAGCTGTACAAACTATATTTAGGGAAATTTGGTATGTTAAAAATAAATATTTGACAAAAATATTCTAAACAAAAATAACTAATACTTCACATAGATTTGGAAGTATTGATCAACGAGTAACTAATCGTACAATCGTCTTTTCAACATTTATGTTTTGGTGTAGTGGATTTCTTTCTTATCAAAACGAATTGGTTAAAATAGAAGATAAAACAGCGCTTCTCAATGTATGAACATAATCAGTTACTTCATGATGTCTATCACAAATAACTATTTCTTTTATAATTTCTAGGATTCAATAAAGAAATCCCATCTCTATGAAAAATCCATGTTAAAAACAGTATATATTGGTGATAGGTATTGATTATAAGATGTTCTATTACTTGTTTCCACGAAACAATCTTACAAAGAAAAAAGATCACTCATAAATAGTTAGTTTATTTTCGAGAGACGTGTATTCATGACATCTATATCATTATATGTGATTAAATTGTTGAATTTTTCAAAAATGATACAACAGATTTTCTTTATTTTTTTTCTTTGATTTAACTTTATCACAATACTTTATGTAGCAACATCATTGAATATCTCATTTTTTCGCTTGTCATTCGATTTATGACTATTCAACTTTAGCAATATAGCTGAATGTATAAGTGTACTAAAATAGAACAATGAGACATTTTTGAGGATCATAGACCATGTTCGATCATAAGTCACAGAACGAGTTAAAAAAATTTTCTAAAAGGGTACGTACATGAAAAACATTTTAGAACAGGCAGGCCGATCTCAATACTCGATCTGTCAGCAAGTTTGGTACCCATATTCTATCCCATTTAGATGCTTCTTACAGCAAATAACTCTGTCAACAAAAAATATCCATTAGTACGTTTATTATTGTAACGTTTTTATAGCGCAGCACATCCTCCATATGAGCGGATATATTAGCTGAAAAGAATAAAGAATTCTGTGAATATTACCTCGTGAAAACCAGAATAAAATCAATTGCTGAGATCACTCAGAAAAAAGTTTGCATGGTTTCTGAATTAATGTACGGTGTCAAAGTATCCACATAAATGCGCCAAGTGTACTTTAAAGCAAGAATTCATTTGACTTTCGTGATTTATATTTCATTGAAAAGAGTAGAAAAAATAGTCTGCATCACATCCAGTTATTCTTCTGGCCAGTTGACTTAAATGTTAAAAATGTTTGTTTATTTCCCAGGCTCCTTCATACACCGTCTGTTCCAGTAATGACGAAAATGTTTCGATTAGAATAGCTTGACGGACACTCCGAGGATTGTGTGCACGATGTAACAATTGATTTGAATTGCGTTGAAAAACTGTTGAACTTATTTTGAGTAACGCGAAGATGTAAGATGTAGCAAAAATAAAATATTATCATTTTTTCTAATGACGATTGCTGAATGGAAGTAAACGTTTACGTATACATTTGCATAGATGCATTGCTTGATGGATATTATAGAGCGATGAACGCAAATAGACGAAATATCCTTCTAAAAGACTACCATGCAAATATGCAATTGCGCTTTAAAAGCTTTCTCAAAAAAACATCATATGCCGTTCGACATGAAATTCCTTTTTTTTTATATACAAAGCGAGAAACTGTTGTTTTCGAAATAGAATTTGAAGAACAGATATGATAGGTAATAATTTATTTTTCTATCACTTTATGTTCTTTTTGTGTTAGTCTTATTGATGATAATGAATGAAAAAGTCAAATATCATTCGAAAGACCTTTTTTTTTGTTCTATCAGAAAACGTGTCAGTTCAACTTCTATTTTGTACCCTCACCGTACAACAGTGTATAACATTTGCGCAGATACTTTTGCATCTTAGGTTACTTCATGTAATATATAGCTATAAACTTCGATTACCATTTTTGTGCCTTCAATTATTCATATTCAATCGTTCTGTTTGGCATTCTCATTTTTCTAGCACCCCAGATTCAGTTCAAGTACGATTATTATCAGATGTAGCTGACTCAAAGAAACCTCTTCTTCCGTCTGTCAATACTGGCCGTTTTAACAAGTAAAAAACAAGATTATTTATATAATCTGATTAAATAAATAGAAATATTATGTTTTATTTTATTTCTTTAGGTGCAAAACTAAAATCGCTCAATATTTTTCCAATATTGGTAAATTTGTACATGCTCCATATATTAAATTTCTTTATAATTTAGTAAGTATTCGACTAGATAAATATCATGTGACTTTTACACAAAGGAAATATTTAATTTTCAGAACTAAAGAATGATTCAAAAGTTTCAATTCCTATCGATAAATCAATATAACGTGCTGAAACTAATTTTAAGATATTCTTGCTTTTAATGTAACTCAGCTGCATGTAGTAGTCAGTGAGCTGATTCTTTCAACAATAGGTAGATCTTATTGAGAGCTATTTGGGATAAACATGTGCGCAACATGACCTATGTTTTGAATAAGTTATCAGGCAAACATTTTCGTATCAGCAGATATAATTTAAGATATTTTTTTAGTATTTTGCCACTTTTGATTTACCAGTTTCGATTGAAAAACAAATGAAGCATACATATATCGACCAAGAATTTCATTCTCATATTTTGAAAAAACTTGTTTTTCCCATTATCGAACAATAGCTTTAAAATTGACACCAAAAATGTGATCTTCATTAGTGATAGTAAAAATGGTAGTTCAAAAATATATTATTTATGCAATTACTCTAATTATCAACCAATACATGCAAAAGGGCATCAAAATCTGAGCAAAATGATATCATTTTTCTAGGAAAAAAACTCGTTTGAATATGAAATTTCTCTTTTCGATTGTAACATGTTCTTAACGAAAGTCCGACTTACAATTTTCGAATATACATTCGATTTGTAGAAGGTATTAATGGGAATGATCATTGTCTTTTCCTCATATACCTCCATACCTGCGCACCTACATCTACATCTGCTATTTCGCTTCTGACTCAACATAAAAACTTACGATGGGTAGCTATTAAAAATAAAATATCACTTGAATAAAGCATAATGGAATGAACTAGATTTCATGAAGAAAATTTGACATAATTTATTTGTTTGACCTCATGCTATATTGAGCTTCAGCAGGTTCGAAATGAGTATTCCACACTGAAGTATTTTACTATCCTATTATAGTTTTATCATTATAAGAAAACTATTGCTCACGGTTAGTGATGATGTAGAAAAGAAACTAGAAATTCAGCTCTTCGAACCTTTGAGGAAAATAAAAACTTGATTGAATATGGAACTGGTTTTTTTCATCAAATAACAGAAAATACATTTATTGAACATAAAATCTTGTATGTTTAATGAAATTTCTCTTCGATTATTCCTAAGACAATATTAAAAAATTTCTCAGTTACACTAGTCAAAAAGTAACATGAATGCAGTATATGATGTCAGTCTTGAAAATTACTCTGTCGAAACCAATGAAACGGATTATTGATGTATTAAGCCATCCAATATTGGTAACAAATAGATATGACTTATATGATAGGCACGAAGTCTGCAGGTGAAGAATGATTACCAAAATCAAACTCACAAACATAATCGGACGAACAGTGTTCGGTGACCTTGATTCTGATAGTCTCTAATTTTATGATGAATCATCAAATCAATACAAGTTTGAGATAGCTTATAGTAATTGACTTAGAGGAACACCAACATTTGATTTATTCTTTAGTTTTTTTATAATTTTATTTATTATTTATTATTTTTTTTTGTCTTCTAGTATTTCCATGTGATATTTTTATTTCTTTTCTCCTATTTAATATTATGTGACTTTTTTCCACTCTATGATTTTCAAGAAGATAAATGTGGATCATCTCAAGATTCAAAAGCTGTTAAAGACTCTGTTACTGGCAATGATAATAATCCATCAATTATAAATCATACATCAAGTGATAATCAATATAATATTAGTAAATCAAAGCCATACGGATTTCAGCGACGTAATAAACCGTCTAATATTGAAATTCTACTTGCCATATGGGTTTTTACATTGGTTTGCGAAGAAATTCGACAGGTAATTTATTCGAACATAAAAATTCGTACATATATAGTCTATTGTCTTATTGTATTTGTATATCATTTTCGTATTAAAGTTATGGTCAATTCAATCACAATCAAAAAGAAATCCAATAATGACTTATTTAAAAACCTTCTGGAATAAATTAGATGTTTTATCTATAATATTATTTTTCGTTGGTTTTATACTTCGTTTTATTCCCGTAGCAGAATGTTTTTGTGCAGCACGTATTGCTCTATCAATTGATCTATCACTTTGGTTTATACGTTCATTGGATATGTTTGCTTCTATAAGACGACTTGGACCTAAACTTGTTATGATTAGTGAAATGGTAAATAATCTAATCGAATGTTCTTTGCTATATTTTTTTTTTCGTAAGGTAAATGATATGAAATTTTTTGTATTCGTATTCTTTGTATTCATTATGGCATTTGGCATACCATTTTATGGATTAGTACATGGTGTAAAAGAATTTTCGTGGCATATGCTACGAGAAATTGGAAGTATTGCGTATTGGCAAATATTTGGAGAATTAAAAGCTTTAGAAACAGTCGAAAGTATGAAAATAAAACAAAAGACAAGAAATTTTAAGTGAATAATAATATTTTTCTTTCGTTTTTTAATCTTCATTTAAGATAATTATGAAGCAACGGGTTACGCAGCATCTATTTTACTAGCAGCCTATATGTTTATTCTTACCATACTCTTGGTTAATCTACTTATTGCTATGTTCAGGTATTTAAAACAAAAACAAAATTACATTTCAAAGATTCTGCATAGTTACTATAAGAAATGATGTAGTTTTTATAAGTTAATTCCGATTGATTTATTCATGATTAAAGGTCATAGCCAATGGAATTAGTTCAATGCGATCTAAATCAGTAAGGGATGGAAATTTTACTCCCATACTTCAGCCTACTCTAGGAATATGTCAAAACTATTTATATTTTAAATTCAGAGAAGGTTTCCAAAGACTAATTGTTTCACACGACTTCATGTATTAGAGTATGTGTCGATCATTGGAAATAATATCTATGAATTAGAATGTTTACTCAGTTGATATGTTTTGAATAATGTTTGATAGAAACAAGATAGAGAACTGCGATTTTCATTGCTCGAAAGAGGAAACGAAGAGGCATTGAATTCTGTATAATAGGTTGAATGAGATGGCCTTTTAAAGATTTTCAATCGATGTCTTTAAAAACAAGCCTATCCCATAAGATACTTACGACGAATGCTCCATTATCAGACATACATTAGAAGCACTGGCAAAACATCTACATAATTGCAGAAGTCTTTGATATTTTGAATTAAACAGTTCAGAGTTTTAGATGTTCCAATCGAGTGTCTAAATGATTCTTCTAGCAATTTCTGTGAACAAATAAAACAGCATTTTTTTTCGTACTTAGAAAATTGATTGAAATACTTTCGATGATCTGTAGAAAAAGGGTAATCTACAATTCAATGTAACTTTGTCTCCGCTTTCCAACAATAAACAGAAGAGAAAAATAGAGCATTCTTTTCTCTGTCAGACTACACAGATAAGCATTTTCTTAGAGTTTATTATTCTACCATATTAAAGTATCATTATCACTACTTTTCGATATCCCTAGAAGTACAACATTTTTATTTCATGGCTAACTTTTAACAATATCCTGTTAGTGTGTCGGATAATAAGGGCAAAAAACATTGTTACACTTCCATCTTGATGAATAACCAAGTATTTTGGGTTTTATTGCCAGACTTAGTAACAAATGAATCCGAACTAATATTCTTGTGACGCAGGTTGATAATAGACTTGCAATAGTGAATGTATGTGAAAGATTAATTATGGTATATCGTTGAAGTTTGATGAAATATGGAATTTATGCTTCTCTCCCTTGGATCTAATTGGTGGGTCGAAAGTCTCTGGACAAATTGTTTGTTCATTTTGCACCCATCTGTAAGTGTTCTCTATGAATGCAAGCAGATGGGCAAACAATCGGAATTTTACGCTCTTTTCATATATGACTTCAGAAATTCTGTTTTTAATTTTGTTGGTAAACAGTGAGAGAATCTTTGAAAATGTCGGAAAACTGATTTGGTTGAGGAATAAATAGGCATTTGTTGGTCCCATATATTCCAATGTGAAGACGCTAATAACAGTTGGATATAATAGTTTTGTAGAGCTGATAGTGATCTACAAAATACGATGTCAAACTCTAATGCAATTTATATAGAAGTGAAATTATAAGCGTTTTCTGAGAAAATTTTAAATGCTTTATATGAAACACAAAGAAATTGAAAGAATGCATTTTGTATGGCAAAATTCGCTCGAAAATCTGATATATGAATCAAAGCTTCAATGTTGAGTTTTGAGTATCAAGAGTGAAAATATCAAAGTATACAAAAAATATTTTCGTCCAAACTAATTTTTTAAGCCTTTCAAAGATTCTCTCACTACTTACAAACAAAACTAGATACAGCATTTCTGACCTCATATATAGAAAGAGCAAAAAATTTCGATCCTTGCTCTCGTTTTTGCATTCATATAGAACACTTTCGGATGGGTGAAAAATGAACAAACAATTTGGCCGGAAACTTTCGGCCCACCCGTTAAATGTATTTCTTTGTATATTTTGTTGAGATATTTCAAATTTTTGCTGAGAGTATTTAAAACTTCATTTGACTATTTGCCATTTTAGTAAATCTCGAAATGAAATTAAAGTAATTGGATAAAATTATTATGAAAGGATGAAGTCTACATGAACTAAAACTATTTGGTTCAATTTACGAATCTCTAGTTATGTTTTCTTCATTCTGGTAGAAAAAGCAACAAACATTTTATATGAATAGCAGTTATCCTCAAACAATCACTATGTTGAAAGCACATGTGATAGTAATGATGATGAAGTCTCGTTGAAAACGGGACACACAAAAAGTTGTTACAATTTCCATGCATATATTGTCATTTCGTGTTTTGAAATGTTCAGTTATGATTTCTTGAAATTCACACTTTACTGTAATTAGTACGATTGAAATAGAAATATCTCGATTATGACTTGAAAATGAGAGAATGACTTCTATTTTTTTCGTAAAATTTATTTTTAGCTCCAAATTTGATTCGAGATCATTATTTAGTTACTCATTTCTATTACTTATTTTATTTTAATCTAGCAATACATTCGATCGTCTTCATGTTAATACAGATCGTATCTGGAAATTTCAACGATATTCATTAGTGTGTGAATATTTAGCACGTCCAGCATTTCCACCACCTTTTATTTTCTTTTCTCATCTTTGGCGATTGACATTATATATATTGGCACGTTGGCGTAAATCAAAGTTTATAAAAGCAAAATATGCACAAAATGTAGCTGGAACTGAATACAGTAAAGATATAACTGTGGTTCGTGTTAAATAGTTTATATGAAATTCTTTTTTTTTTGTATTTAGAAATTTCATTGGATGAAAAAAAATCAGCAAATATTGAAATAGTTGAAGATGCCCTTGGTGATGAAGTTTATTTTAAGTTTTTAAAAACACGACGACAATTGGTTGATGATGCTGACCTCGACGATGAACTACCGTAAGTGTTAAAAGCCTATCAACACTATTATGATAATGTTTCTGATATGATATTAATAAAAAAAATATCTCAACAAAATATACAAAGAAATACATTTAACGGGTGGGCCGAAAGTTTCCGGCCAAATTGTTTGTTCATTTTTCACCCATCCGAAAGTGTTCTATATGAATGCAAAAACGAGAGCAAGGATCGAAATTTTTTGCTCTTTCTATATATGAGGTCAGAAATGCTGTATCTAGTTNAGTAGGAAATAATTATACGATAAGATTCTTCTCCCGTTTTCTATTTCTCTTCTTTTTTTTTTTATAATAAAAATTAGAACATTAATTTACGTGAATTATTCATATTGGCACTCAGTCGTAATCGAACAGCATTTGTTGAATTATTTCTTGACCATGATTCTTCATTAATGAATATATTTAATTTTCCGTCTGAACTTCGTGAACTTTATATGAATACTGATGAAATGAAAGAAGTAAATGAAATTGAAAAATGTACATATTTTTTGTTTTTATTTTGTATTATTTCGAAAAAAAATAGTATCATGGTTTATTAGAAGAGTCCGATACCCCGCTACGAGTCATACATGAAGTAATCCAACAATTTGTAGAAGATCGTTTTGAAATTACTGATATACTGTCTCCAGCAAGTATGACACCGAATTCTGAATTAATTAATGAAAACGACGATGAAATCAGTATTTATTGTGAACGAAAACATTATCAAAAACCACCAGACAATGACTATAATAGTAATGTACAAACGGAGAGTAAGTTCTAAACATATTTCTTAAAAAAACGAGATATATCTTCGAAATTCTACGAAAGCCATGTTTTTATTAATTTTTATTTTTCAATAAATTGAAATTTCTATCAATGATAAAGTTCAATATCACAAAATTATGTAGAAAATAGGTTTATTACTCATGAAGACATTGTTATTTCATGTGTATTTGACTGCATTCGAATGATTGAAATAAGAACGCATGAAGAAATTCTCATTTGAATGTATATCAAATGAAATATAAGCTGGAATAAGTAATCACATTTAATAGTAGCTGCTATGGTCTATAATTGAAACGACGAGGACAAGAAAGAGTCGCAAAAACTTGATCTTAAAACTTACACTTATCATTTTCTTTACATTACTGTCCATGTAAACTCAATCATGACCCAATGAAATAACTCTTATTCTAATGTTAGAAACAACTTCCAAGGTTTTGATTCATCAATTAAAATTTTATTATCATTCATTGAAAAGAGAAAAATCACATTACTGCCAAAGATAAATACTAGATTTTGTGTTTCTGGAATCTGATGGAATATTCTTGTGTTCTTAAATGTTCACAATTTTTTAATAGTTTATTTGAATCCTTGAGTTTTTCTCTAGCATATCTGACTTCTGAATAGCTTTACAAGATCTTNTTTTTCGGTAAAAATGCGAAATTGGGGCGTTTTTAACGATTTTGGTCACGTTTGCTTGAAAATAAACCGTAAAAACGATTTAAAACGGAGAAATTCAATGGTAAACACGTTTAAAGGGGTTTAAACGGTATAAACGCTTGATAGACCCGTTTAAACGCAGTTTTGACCGTTCATTGTCTGCCTGGGTAGCTTTAGAATGGGATCGTGAGGATATAGCTAAAGATTTTGTGAAAAATGCTGCAGACTTAGTAGGAAATAATTATAAGATAAAATTCTTTTTCCGCTTTCTATTTCTTTTTTTTTTATAATAAAAATTAGAACATTAATTTACGTGAATTATTCCTATTGGCACTCAGGCGTAATCGAACAGCATTTGTTGAATTATTTCTTGACCATGATTCTTCATTAATGGATATATTTAATGAGCCGTCTGAACTTCGTGAACTTTATATGGATACTGATGAAATGAAAGAAGTAAATGAAATTGAACAATGTACATATATTTGTTTTCATTTTGTATTATTTCGAACAAAAATAGTATCATGGCTTATTAAAAGAGTGCGATACCCCGCTACGAGTCATACATGAAGTAATCCAACAATTTGTAGAAGATCGTTTTGAAATTACTGATATACTGTCTCCAGCAAGTATGACACCAAATTCTGAATTAATTAATGAAAATGACGACGAAGTCAGTACTTGTTGTGGACGAAAGCAATATCGAAAACCACCAGACAATGACTATAATAGTAATGTACAAATGGAGAGTAAGTTCTAAATATATTTCTTGAAGAAACGAGATATATCTTCGAAATTCTACGAAAGCTGTTTTTTTTTTAATTTTTATTTTTCAATGAATTGAAATTTCTATCAATATAAAGTTCAACATCACAAAATTATGTAGAAAATAGGTTTATTACTCACGAAGACAAAGTTATTTCATGTGTGCTTGACTGTATTCGAATGACTGAAATAAGAACGCATGAAGAAATTCTCATTTGAATCTATATATCAAATGAAATATAAACTGAAATAAGTAATCACGTTTAATACCTGCTGCTATAGTATATCATTGAAACGATGAGGACAAGGAAGAGTCGCAAAAACTTTCTCTTAAAACTTACACTTATCATTTTCTTTACATTACTGTACATGTAAACTGAATCATGGCCCAATGAACTAACTCTTATTCTGATGTTAGAAACAACTTCCAAGATTTTATTCATCAATTAAAAGTTTATTATCATCTATTAAAATTAAGAGAAAAGTCATATTACTGCCAAAGATAAATACTGGATTTTGTGTTTCTGGAATCTGATGGAATTTTCTTGTGTTCTTAAAATGTCCTCAATTTTTTAATAGTTTATTTAAATCCTTGAGTGTTTCTCTAATATATCTGACTTCTCAAGAGTTTTACAAGATCCTCTAAGATGTTCTTTCACATAAAAGCTCTGAAAACATGAGCGACTACATTTTAACGTATGATAACGTATTTCTATCGATTATCAATAAACAAAAACAGTAAAACTATGCGAAAACATGTTGATTAATCCTATTTTATAGAGCTTTCTCTACTGATCATTTCAGTAAAAATTAGGTTTCATTTTCATCAAGAAATGATAATGCCAGAGTTAAAATACTGACAGACTTCAAATATGCTCCATTTTCATAGTACTTTGACTCTAGTACCGCCATCTCTTGATGCCAATAGAAATATTTTTTTAAAATAATCAACAGAAGCAATTTTATAAAACACAGATTTCTCAACAAGTTTTCTTAGATGTTTTTTTTTGGCTGACTACTAACAGAATTGTCTAAACCGACGGTCAAACTCCATATTGAAATACCTGCACATGTTTTCGAAGAAAATAGAGAATGTAAATTGAAATGGAAGTTTTAGTCAGAAGAACGGATGAAGAGTTAAATGATAATTATAATAGTTGCTTGATATGCATCATATATGAACAGTTTTGATTTATTCTCTAGTTCGAAAAATGAATTTGATCTTTCGTAGAATTGGAATGAAAATTTTTCTGGAGAATTCATTACTCTTTTATAATGAAAATAGCAATTATCATGACAGAAAAAATAATCGAAATTAAATCTGTGATCAATTATTACAATCACTCCTCTTTCTCTTTTCGTGATCTTAATACATGTTATTTATGTATTATAATTAATGAAATACGTTTATTTCCTATTTAAAGGATCAACAACTGATACCGTTACGCACATTAATGTTGAGAAAGAACTTTTCCTCTGGTCGATTATAGCAGGTCGACGAGATTTAGCATTACTATTATGGTCTCGTGGCAAAAATAAAATTTGTGAGTTAGATATTTATTTTTAATGATATACTGAAGGGAATATATTTCTTAGGTGCTGCATTAATTGCCAAATTAATATATCAAATTCATGCTCATAGAAAAAATGATAATAGTTATTATCAATCAGCCGATGAATTTGAAAATTTAGCTATACAAATACTTGACAAACTTAATCAAACAAATGATGCACTATAACATTTCAGACTAGTATGTCATTCAAATCCAAAGTTATCAAGCATCAACGTTATCAAAAGTGAACCTTTTTCCATATATTGAGTGCTTCATAAAAATTTCTATGACTCAATATTTTTCAACAAAAATTTTCTTCTAAATAGAATCCACCAAGATATATGTCCATACAAAATTTCAGCTCAATCTGTCAAGCCATTCACGAAGTATCATTGTATTAAGACCCCCTTGATCAATAAAGTGATTTTTAGGGCTTTTTGTAAAATGCTCATAAATCGAGCGATCAATATTTTTTTGAAACAGATTACGCCAAGATTCTTAGAACTCTTCCCTCTACAACATATCTTAAACTGAATAAGATCTGACTATGTTGACTCAGCAAATTGGGTCCTGATTTACATGAAGTGGCTCATAAAAAGTATACCTATCTCATATACACCTTCTAAAGATGACTTTCGGTTCAAGCCATTTCTGGAGATTAAACGCTAATCTTTTTCTAGAGCTGTCTTCCAAAGAGAGTACTTCAAACTTCTAAAGACCAACTTCCCAGGGAATTCATTTCTTGGGAGAAAGCCTAAATCAGAAAATCCCCATATTCATGAAAATCCCGTTTTTCAGAGCTCTCTCTTGACAGAATAGAATGACTTAGATAGCTGAAATTTTCAGGGCTGATACATCTCTTTGTGCTGTATTCATAGTGAAAATTTCAGACCTCTATCTCATTCCAATCAAAGGTTATGAAGTACCAAAATTAGCAAAAACGAGCATTTTTCTCTATATTTGATACTTCATAAAATCCGAATGGCTCAATATTTTCCAGTAAAAATTTTATTCTCAATAGAACTCACAAGGATATATGTACAGACAAAATTTCAGCTGAATCAACCGAGCTGTTCGTGCGATATCGTCGCATTAGGATCGCGGTTGATGAATATGGTCAGTTTTAGGACTTTTAGTAAAATGCTTATAAAAACTCAACGGATCAATATTTTTTGAAACGGCTTGCGTCAGAATTCTTAGAAATCTTTCCTCTACAACATATCCTAAATTGAGCAAGATTTGACGACTTCAATTGAGCAGGGTCCGTATGTGAGCGGTCGTGGCTTACGTGGAATGGCTCATAGAGATTTGACTGTTTGTGAGAAAATTTATTGCAATGTGACCATAACTTTTTTTTTCCAAAAAAGTCCTTTCACTGCTATTCAAAATTAGTTCACATTTTTAATGGTTAATCCCTCCTTTTTCCTACTATGAATAGAAGGTCACTCGAGAGAAAAACAGTGCAATAATCAATTAAATATTACTGTTTTTTTCAACATTTTCCATGTAAATCCTTGGGATTTTTAGGTTCCACCGTTTTAGTGAAAATCTCTGGACTCTCTTTCGACTGAATTGATCAAACAACTCCATTTACAACACGGAATTTCTGGAACAAGTGCGAACTGTAAAAAAATTTTGAAAATTTCGTTGGTTTACAATGAAGATCTTAGGAAAAACCATCTTAGAAAAAGTCTTGTGAATTTCCAGATTAGTATTGTGTATACAGAAGGAGTGTATAGAAATATAATGAAATATTGAGTTCCACGAAAGATCAGAGCTTCATGGTGACAAGGAACATGAAGTTAAACGAGGTTCTTTTAATTTTTTTGTCTACAATAGTGAAGGGTCTTTTACTGTATGAATTTGATTTAAGAGTATCCCTAAAGATTCTTATAAAAAAAAAAGTAAAAGATGATTCGAAGGAAAACGAGTCCACAAACCTTCTTGTAGGACTTTATATTGTTGTCTTGAAAAAAATTGTACTGGACGTTTTCTTTGGATGTCCCTTTTCAGTAATAAAAAAAAACAAGTCATCTCTCTGATAGATATCACTAATTGTTTATGTAAATGTTTCTCTTAGTGCGACCTCTTCTTACCTATTGGTGATTTTTAATTATCAATAAGATGTTTTCTATACGAATCGATAGATACATAGATGAAACAAGACATAAAAATTTTGAAAAAATGTTTGATATAGGATATACTATACGTGTAATGAGATTACTTTGGCGATATAAAGGAAATAAAAATTACAAAAATATATTGTCAGAATCAATAATTCATAGTCGATGTTGGCCAAATGATCTTGATTTAAATTTTCATATGAATAATTCAAGATATTTACGTGAATGTGATTTTGGTCGTTATTCATTTTTCATGGAAACAGGTTTATGGAATTCATTTACTCAACGTAGAAAAAAAGATATGAAAAATACAACTATTCTTGTTAGTGCATTACAAGTTCAATATCGTCAAAGTGTTAAATTAGGTGAAAAATTTCAAATAGTAACACGTATTAATGGATGGGACGATAAAGCATTTTATTTCGAACAATCAATGATTATGAATAAAAATCTTCAACCTGCTTTTTCATTATTAATTCGAGTGGTTTTTCTTCCACGTTCTCTTACACCACAAATGTTAATTGATGATCTTTATTTTGGATCAATTCAATCACCTAAACTTTCACCAGCAGTTGAAAATTTTAGACAAAATTATCAATTAAATTTTTCGCCGATTAAGTCGAATCTTTAATTTTCTTAAATAAACTTGTAATAATTAGGATTATTCACGATTGAATTGATTATTATATGTTTTTTCGATGAATATATCGTTTTTGAACTATATTTTGTTGAAATTCTACGATAAATTATTGACATAGTAGACTAGCAAATGTGAATTTATTGATTTAAAATAATGTAAAAGAAATTGACGACGATTTATTATTTTTATATCTTTAAAAGTTAGCTTCATTTGAATCATATGAAACTTTTTGATTGAAGTTAAGAGAGGGTCTGCGAGTGGACCATCCTAGATCGCCGGGGAAAAATTTTTTTTTTCAATTTTATTTTCTTAAATGATAGACCTAGATAAACTATAGTTAATTCCAAAATATTAGGACATTTGGTTTTACCTATGAAAAACGCGAGTTAAAGCAAACTTAAGGGTACCCCCACCTTTCCGGGTTTTCTGGGGAACGGCTCGTCCGAAAATTTTGAAACTTACAGAGCAGATAGATCTCGATGGGTATAGCGAAAGTTGTCATAGACTCAAAGTTCCAGGATGCTGTCTTCTATTAGATATTGGGGTTATAATGGGTCAAAATGACCCCACTTTTCGCTCCCCTTTCTCCTAGATACTATGTCCGATCGAGCTGAAATTGTTTTTAGAGATATTAGACACTATTTGAGGTGGGTATTTTTTTTGGTTTCCTTATATCTTTTGTTTTTCGAATAAAAAAGCCAAAATACAGGAGATACCCTTAAAAACGCTTGTTTTTTTAATAGGGCAAATTTTGTAAAAGCTGCCAAAAATCACCAGAGCAATATTTTTTGAAATAGAAAAAAAATATCTACCCCAAATAGTGCCTAGTATATGTGAAAAAAATTTTAGCTCGATACCTCTTACCATGCCGGAGATATGGGGTGAAACAGTACTTTTTTGCGAAAAACGCAAAACAAAATTGAATTTCGACTTTTTCTTGAATATTCATTGTTTTTTTTCTTTCTATTGAAGTTTTTATAGGTTTTCGATCATAGGGTATGGGGTGTGGGTGGATGGGTGTGAAAGTCAGTTGGTTTTCTCTTCACCAACACCAACACCCACACCCACCAAATTACTTTAAATGGATTAATAATTAGTTTATTAATTTTTTGTTATTAATTAATTAGCATTACACAGAAAAATTATACAAAAAATATTTTTAAATGAAGTTCGTAGTAGAATGTTTTTTTTGGTGTTTAGTTCATTTTAGGATTATATTCAAGTTCGAATTTTTGTACTCGATGATTTCGATAATCGACGACAGAGATTGCCGTATCGATCGAATGACAAACCGACGGGACAATTGCGTTGGTTCGATTGTTCTCCACTACCGCTTCCACCAACAATAACACTTCCTCGTGTGGCTCCTTTCGATCAACGCATGATTCGATTATTCACACAATCAGCCACATAAACAGTGCCCAATTCATCGACAGCGACTCCTTGAGAGCATGACAACTGTGTAAGACTATTTCATTTTCCTTGACCACCAGCTACGGCAATGCCTTGTTTTGCACCTTCCATCCATTTCATCACACGCTGATTGTTCCATTCAGATAGTACAATGAATGATCTCGATCGACGAATACGTAATGTGGCAAAGAGAGTTGATCGAGACGATTTCCACTTCCATTGCCACCTGCAACCACTGTTCCTTGAGATTCTCCTCTTTGATATCGTCTCACTTCATTTTTTACATTATCAATGACATAGAGTGATCCATTCTCATCCATTGTCAAACTCCAACAATAGATGTTGGAGATGATTGTTTCTCCACTTGTCCCATTTCGACGGGGCCATCGAACTATTCTTCTATTCCCATAATCGCATATGATGAGACTATCTCTTTCTTTGTCGATAATCACATCATATGGTCTATTCAATTGATGATCTTCTCTTCCTTGCCCATTTCCACCTGCAACTACTTGACCACTCGTTGCACTCCATTTCCATTCTATAATACGATGATTCTCTTCCTCAGCCACATAGATCGTTTGATCATCATCAATATATAAACCCCGTGGGTAAGAGAGTTGATTGATTCTATTTCTTTGTTGATTTCCTCCAGCCACAGTAATAGCATTTTGTTGCCATCGAGTATTCGGATGAATGTTGGTGGTGGGTGGAGAACGTAATGGATAGTCTGAAATCGAAACACAAGAAAATTTATAAAATAAGAGAGAAAAATTTTCTCTTCATACAAATTGGATTAGGTGCTCTATGAGAGATATTTTTGAGTCAAGCTCTGACCTTTGTTAAAAATGATTGTTTCCGTTAAGAGCGATATTTTATTGAATTAGATTCTCAGCCACTTTTTGATAAGTAAAACAATCATGAATCAATAAATATTCATATATTTTATAAATAGTTATCGATAACATAGGAAATATTTTTGTAGTTCAGGTAATTTTCTTCCAAACTCT